GGCCGCTACGCTCCTCCAACGAACGCCGCCTGGCTCATCTGTGACACCACGATGGTGGATGAGCCACCACGCCATTAAAAGAAGCTCTTGAAAACTCATCTCTTCTGAGAAAACTTTCTCTTATAACACCCCTAACCTCAAACATGCGCTTTCTGTGCTCTTCTTCTTCTGTCCCCTACAATCATCTTGAATTGATTGCACTTCTGAGTAACTTCTCTCACTTGGTATTTACCCCATTGTTGCCATATGTGCTATTAGCTCTTACTATTTATTGCTGCCCTTACTAATATGTATTGTCAGTTGTAGATCTCTTACTATATTGATGCTTGTATGTGTTTGTTGCTTTGAATAAAAGCGTCTGCCAAATGAGTAAATGTAAATTTGTTAACATCTGGTACGCCTTAATAAAGGCATCCAGGATGCTCTGCAGATCTGACTCAGAGTGAGCGATAAGTATGTTGTCATCTTAGTGCTGGGCAATAAAATAATGATGATAATGACAATTAAAGTAATAAATTTTTAATAGATGTTCAATATATCGTCAATAAATGTTTGATTTAATTATTTTGTTGAAGAAAAGGGAAAGAAAGAAAAAAGATTTTATCATAATTGTTTTGAATGTTCTACCTTAGATTTGTGAAGCGATCCAGTGTTTGTCATCAAAATCAGGCTTTAAACATTTCTCTCTCTCTCTCTCTCTCTCTCTCTCTCTCTCTCTCTCTCTCTCTCTCTCTCCTCTCTCTCTCTCTCTCTCGCTCTCTCTCTCTCTCTCTCTCATTTAAAGCCAGAGATCACCATCGCGTACGTTGCCGTCTCGCTCATCTTCTTCAACAGCGGCCTGTCACTGAAAACAGAGGTAAAAAAATCTGACACTTCTGTCTTGTTAACTTGTTATAACGTGATGGATGCAGTTGCTGTTGGAAAAAGATTCATGTAATAAAAGTCTGATAGAAGTTTCTGCTTCTCTCTGCAGGAGTTGACCAGCGCGCTGCTTCATGTTCGACTTCACCTGTTTGTTCAGTCCTTCACATTGATCTTCTTCCCACTGGCCGTCTGGCTGCTGCTCAAAGTGCTCGCACTGACTGCCATCGACCAATGGCTGCTCAGAGGGTAGGAAGAGAGAGAGAGAGTGTGTGTGTGAATGCTATCCTTTATTTAGGTCCATGCCTGACTTTACCTGAAGGGCGAGTTATGGACGGACACAAGGACCCACATTCACTGCTACCACAGGCGATGGTTGTGTATGTGTGTTGAACAGACCTCCTGTGTGCCTCTTAAAATTAAAACTGTCTGAACTGAGTGAAAAGAGATAAAAAAAGTGGATAACATGCATGGCTTTGGTGTGGGAGACCCGGCTTCAACTCCCCACTGTGACCCACCGATGTCCCTGAGCAAGACACTTAACCCTAGTTGCTCAGAGGCTTGTGACCTCTGACATAAATAGCAATTGAAAGTCGCTTTGGATAAAAGTGTCAGCTAACTGAATAAATGTAAATGTAAATTTATCTGAAACTCAAATAGTCAAGTTTTCATTAAAAGCAGCTTTTTGTCTTTTGGTGTAATTGCACTCCACACCACATGGGGGCGCCACAAAATCAAATTAACTATGAGACAGGAGCAAACACCAGGTGTGCTTTCCATTCAGCTAATTATGCTTCTTCCCGCCCTCACTCCTCTGGCCTTCAGCCTAAATTGGTTGCAGCTTGTCATAATCACGAATAGTCCAATCCCTTAAGAGAAACTTCTACATTCTTCAACCTGGACCTTTTTTTCCCCATGTTTTTGTCTATGTGACTGATAGGGACAACTATTTTTTTTTATGTCCAGTATTGAGCGAGATCAGTGAAACAGACCTACAATGTAATTCTTCCAGGGCAATTGCGCCCTGTCAAAGTACGTCCACTAAAGTGCTTGTTTTTGCCACTGACAGGCTCAGTTTGTTATTATACTGCAATTATTATGGAAAGGATCCCATCAGAGATGGACCTTTAACGAGTAAGATCCTTTTTGTTGTACCAGAAACAGCCGTTATAAAGCCGCCAGACTCCACTGCATGAATACAGTCATTTTACCTTGCTGATCTTTGTTCTGTTTGGTGATCTGTGAGGTAAAATTACTGACATTGCCGTCCATAGAACCGTGCTGCTAGCGTAGCAGTTGTTATTAATTCTACAATATCCACCCTGAGCCTGAAAAGTACCAGACTGCACCTGTGGTCTTTCATAAACTAACTGCAGATTGTATTTACAGTGTTTATAACTCCCTCACCTCCTGTTGTTTCAGTAATAAAGAGATTCTAATGATCTAATCTAGTCGTGTTTTCATCAACGTTTTTATGCGCATATTGAAGCATCTCATTAGAAAGGTTGATGGAAACTGGAAAATTTGATGAAACTTCAGTTCAACCCTCCAAAACTTATACACGCTTGAGCAGGTTTTTCTCTTTTTCGAAAGAGTTAATGCGCTAAATGGGTTATTATTACGTTTGCAAAAGTAGAGCACTCACATGTGTGTCAGCAGACCTCTGACCTTTTGAAGGAAGGCGGGGAAGGAACATTTTCTGAACTGTAGAAAAAGATGATGATGATGATTCTTGTCCTTCGTTCTCATCACTGCACCCCCCCACCGCCTCATCCTCCTCTTCATCCTGTTGCTGTGGTTGCCTAGGTTACAGACGGTGAGCTGCATGCCCCCTCCGGTCTCCTCGGCTGTAATTCTCACCAAGGCTGTCGGAGGCAACGAGGTAACACACACACACACACACACACACACACACACACACACACGTTAGCAGGTCATTCCTCCAGTGTTTGACAAATGGCGTAACTGGAAAGGAATAAGCAGTGTCTTGGTATGTTCTGTGTGTGTGTGTGTGTGTGTGTGCCTCCAGGCTGCTGCCATCTTCAACTCCGCGTTTGGAAGCTTCCTGGTAAGATCTCATGAAACTGGAGTTTTCCTTTAAACGTGCAGCAGTAATCATCAGCGTGAGCTCTGTGGGGAGCTGAAGCTGTAATCGTGTCTTTCTGTCCTGCAGGGAATCATTGTGACTCCAGCGCTGCTGCTGCTGTTTGTGAGTCACACCCTGAGTTTAATACACTTGTTTTACAAATGAATACACACAGAAACCGTGAGACCATAAACATAATTTTTCTTTACTTTAAAGCAGAAGTTGTTTGACATTTTGAGAAATACACTTATTCGCTTTCTTGCCGAGAGTTGGATGAGAAGGCTGGTTCCACTCTCGTCTCTGTACAGTAAAAATGAAGCTGCAGTCTGGAAGAGCTTAGCTTAGCTTAGCTCAGAGGGTTTTCAGTCTGAGACTGTGGGCCTCCCTTCAAACAAAATGTTTGTAAAAAGGTTCCCCCCATCACACTACATTAGTTCACCTGCGTGGTTTTGCTCATTTCCTGGATCCCCATGAGATGATGATGATGTTTGATCCCATAGACACTCAGCAGTTGAGCCAAGATAACCTAATATTGCTGTTTGATGTAACTTCAGACTACACCTATATTTAAAAAGGTCTGTCCTAAGGCATTATTAGTTTCTGACTCTGGAAAAGTGGGAAAGACTGTAAACTGTCCCAAAACCACTGTAACCATGAAGTAATCAAATTATACATGTAGGCAATTCTGTGTGATCTGCTTTTGATAACTAATTTAATACCAAATGTAATACTTTTCATTTACTGAGCCTCCCCTGAAACTGTTTCCCCTCCTACTTTGAAAACTTCTGGCTTTGTTTAATCTGTATTAAAACCAACATGTGAAAACAGCAATTCAGCGTTTTACAAGGGAACGTGTGCCGGACTGCTTCTTGGCTGGGAGGGACATTACAGTAAATCACAGAATATATAGTCCCAGTATATAACCCTGTGTAAAACAGTGAAGTAAAGTTTGTTGTAGTTTTTTTTTTACACTTCACACTTTCCAGCTGCTAACCAGCTGCTCCTTATCCATTGCACCAACCCCTCTATTGATCATACAGGTAAGACAGTGGCATCAATGTCCTCATCTAACTCTCTGCCACAAAGTGATTAAGCATATTTCCTAACATGTCAAACTTTTGCTTTAAACCTGCATTCATTGACGTGTTGGCCATTTGGGGGCAGCGCAACAAATTGAAGCTTTAGTCTGCTACTTTACCTCATAAGGTTTTCTGGTTATGTGTAACTCCGATACAGTATCTCACAAAAGTGAGTACACCCCTCACATTTTGTAAATATTTGATTATAGTTTTTCATGTGACAACACTGAAGAAATGACACTTTGTTACAACGTAAAGTAGTGAGTGTACAGCTTGTATAACAGCGTAAAGTTGGTGTCCCTTCAAAATAACACATCATACAGTCATTAATGTCGAAACTGCTGGCAACAAAAGTGAGTGTAGCAAAGTGTCATTTCTTCAGTGTTGTCACATGAAAAGATATAATCAAATATTTACTAACATGTGAGGGTTGTAGTCACTTTTGTGAGATACTGTAAATAAATACATGTAAATAATGTGACTATGTATGTTTGGTTGGCCTCATTTTATCTTCTCCTGTTTCTCCTCCTCCAGCTGGGCTCTTCATCCTCCGTTCCCTTCTCCTCCATCTTCTCTCAGCTCTTCATGACTGTGGTGGTTCCTCTGATCCTGGGTCAGGTAGGGGCATGTGTGCGTGCGTGTGTGTGTGTGTGGGGGGGGGGGGGGGTACAGAAATGGTTAAATATGTATGAATCTTTGCAGAGTTGTAAATCTCTATTCGGGGTGGGTGTGTGTGCAGGTGTGTCGTGGTTTCGTCAGGGAGTATCTGGAGAGGCGAAAGCCTCCGTTTGGCGCCGTCAGCAGCGCCGTCCTCCTCATGATCATCTACACCACTTTCTGTGACACCTTCAGTAACCCCAACATTGAGCTGGACCCCACCAGTCTGCTGCTGGTCGTCCTCATCAGTGAGTACCCTCAAAGTTAATAGTTTTTTATACCTTTCTCTAGAAGAATACATACAAAACATTTCAGCAAAGGGGAAAAAACAGTCCTTCACACTTAGTCCATTCAGAGTACTTTTATTAAATGTAAGAGAAATATGTGACGGAATTAATTTACTTGGGGTTGCCAGACAAAGCGGCAGGAGGAAGATGTGTTGGGTAAAGGGTTGCTGGTGCCTGAGTTGAAATCCACTTTCTATTAAAAGAAAATTCAACAGTCACGTGACATGCGCAGTGACCTGGAGGGCAAAACAACAGACCAAAGTAGAGGCTCACACCGTACTCCCCAGTAGAGACGTCGTAAAAGCCGTTAAATTTTATTTGGATCACTTCTCAGCTCAAGAAAAGATACACCCGCTGCCATATTTCCGCCGTTGAAGGGAGCATTTTCCTTGTAATGTGACGTCACGTGAAAACTATGAATAGGAAATCTGCTTACTCTATTTCTTGCCGAGATTATCGATACCACTTTAATGTCTGTACAGTAAGTACAAAGCTACAATCAGCTGCCGGCTAACTTAGCTTAGCACAAAGACAGGAAACAAGGGGAATCAGCTAGCCTGGCTCTGTGTAAAGGTAACAAACTCGGCTCAATAATTAACATGTTAAATCTAGTTTGTTTAATACTTATTAAATTAAAAAATATTATTACTCTTTTGTTGGTGTGATGGTGTTCAGATGAACTAGAAAACAAATTAACAAAGAAACAGCAAAGTATAACTGTTAGCTGACCTACAAAAAATAAACAATGGTATTATAAAAGGTTTAAAACAAACTAAATTACACCTGTCTAAGTCCAGGTATAATAAACAAAATGACACATTATAATGCAAACAGAGGGGATTATTGTTTACCATTCAAGTGAAGCTTGTCTCTCTTGTTGTTCTCTGCAGTTTTCTCCATCCAGCTCAGCTTCATGCTGCTCACGTTTGCCTTTTCCACCAGGTGAGGCTCCTTCTCCTCCTCCTCTTCCTCTGTTATTCTTGCTCTCCTCCTCTTTTACTTTACTTACAATTCATATGGGTTGCAGCAAAGTGGTGTAACAGCCATAACATATTTTTTGCTGTCAAACAATGTAATGAGAACATCCAAATCTGATTAGTTGTGTTGTTTTTATTAATCCAACAAAACGAAAAAGCAAAACACTGCCTCGTGAGCAGAAATACTATTGCTTCAAGTTTTTCTAATGCAGTGCGTAAACTGAATACAAATACTAAAATGAATATGATATTAAGATCAACAAGTGTAAAGATGGCTGCATATATACAGATAGCAAGTTTATACACAAGCACAGCAATAAGTCAGAGGTCACAGCAGCCAGACTCAGAGTGTGAAAATGACCCAGAGAGTGATGGTTTAAGGTTTTCACTTCCATTTTGTTTCTGCAGGTCGGGTTCAGGATTCAGCCCTGCAGACACAGTCGCCATTGTATTCTGCTCCACTCACAAGTCTCTCACTTTGGGTAGGCACACACACACACTCAAACACACACACACACACACACACACACACACACACACACACACACACACATGGACTTGTAAGTAACTAAGTAAAATTTTGATCCAATAGCATTCTGATTGATGTATGTTTTTCTGATCCAGATAAGATATTTAGAAACAAACTGTATGTTAAAGGAGACCACCAAAGTCTTCTCCAATATCAAGTGATGTCGCTTGAGTCGGCATCATTTGGAGATGAAGAATTTAAGTTTGAAAATGAAAAAAACAAGTTAGAAAGAAGGAAGCTTACCAGATCTCTGTAGACTGCTGTTCATCTCTGCTGCAGGCTAGAGATCAAGGCACATTATGACAAGGAAGAAGAATGTTTGGAATAAAAACGACAATATTCAAATATTTAGTTCTCTCTCCCTCCAGGTATCCCCATGCTTAAGATTGTGTTTGAGGGCTACGAGCATCTCTCTCTGATCTCAGTTCCTCTGTTGATCTACCATCCGGCTCAGATCCTGCTCGGCTCCGTCCTTGTACCAACCATACGCAGCTGGATGACCACCCGGCAGAAGGTGAACTACACACAGACACTAGTTCACACGCACACAGACACTAGTTCACACACACTGCAACTTTATCACACGCACATTAACACTAGTTCACACACAGACACTGGATCACACACACACAACACTAGTTCACACACTCACACACACACACACACACACATACACAAAAGCCAGTTCACATACACACACACACACACTAGTACACACACACACACACACTAGTACACACACACACACACACATAGTACACACACACACACACTAGTACACACACACAGCAATCCAACAATAACCTCTTCACCTCTTCTCCTCTCCTACAGTCTAGTCTGTTGTTGAGATAGGGCCGCATTCCAACACTGCTGTCCTGAGTGAGTAGAGAACGGACTCCAAAACAACAACTAATTTATTTATTTAATTAAAAAGATGTAAATTATTTTTCCTTTCATAATAAGAACTGCAGATCTGTTGGGTTTCATTGAACTGGTACATTACAGTATATGACCTCCTCTCCTTCTATGCTTTGAGTCTTTTAAAAACACACGCTCTGAACGGCTCCCTCTGCTGTCAGTAAAACAATCTGCAAGAAACACCTGCTGGATTCACTGCTGCAAACTCTCCAGCTTCACTTTCATTAAGTACCACTAATGTTGTACTGGTCTGATGGTGGTGGGTTTGATGATGCCAGGCAATTACTGTAAATCACCAGTCACATCTTGTTAACAGCATGACGTTAAATACTGTGGAAACTAACTTGCTAATAAACCTTCAGTGTTTCAGTTTAGTCAAACACTTGGATGTAATTATCTTCAATGCACCTCTATTTTAAGTTATAACATTGTCTTTTTTCACTCTAGAGTGCAACCGACAGGCTCCTGGATTTCTGGACGTTTGAGAAGTTTTATATTCGATAAATGTACTTTACATCACTGATATTTGCTTTTTATCATAAGACATTGTGAACAAGTGTTGTTTAAAAAGATCCCCTAAATTAGTTTTTAAAGGTACAGTGTGTAATTCTTGGCCACATGCTCTAAACCAATAGGGGCAGCATTTCACCTTGCATTTCTTCACACTGGTCAAAAAGGGATCCTCTGCTCTTTTCTAATCACACAAAGAGCTGATAATTTTAATGATCTCATTAATTAAGCTTTTTATAACTTCCTGGATTAGCGTGCGTCACTTCTTCTGCAACAGTAAAGTTAAAGGACGCTTTATGTCCACGGGGAGAACCTCCTTTCTGCCACTCTGATTAGACACAAATGACAAATATGTGGAATAAGTACATGATTTAAAAAACACAGTAATGAAGAGCAGTGGTGCTATTTCTAATAGTTATTGTGGATGGGCAGATTTTGATATTTCATCATGGGGGGGGGGATCAGTTGAATTGAAATGGATCAAAAGGATTGGCAAGCATGGGCCGCATAATTCATAATTTATCAGAGTCAGATCTTTATGATGGCATATTAGGGCCATTGTACATTAAAAATAAATTAATTATGGAGTAATTTTCAGAGATTAAAGTTGTAAATTTCCGAGAAAAAACAAAATTACAAGCTGGTTAGCTTGTAACTTCAGTAGATGTCTTTGACATCAGAGATGTTCACATTCTGTTGACAAGGTTAGTGTGTATGTTTTAAACAAAACTTCTGGCCAAATCTTACACATTTTAACTTTAAAGAGTTGTGACCGAGATATGTACTGAGTGGCACATTAAAAATAAAATTATCGGTTCTCTCGGGTGGAAGAATTACGTCATGGAGACAGTCTTTCCAAATGATCTCAGACACATTTTTGGCTTTTCTGTTCTCCAGTGTCTTGCAACTTTATTTTTTTACAGCTACACTGCAGATGACTGTAAATATACCAGCGTTGGCCACTAATCGGCTTACATATACACAGATACGATTATGGTTGAAACAGTCGATTAATCAACTTGTCAATTAATATTCAATCAATAAAAATTCAAAATATTGTTGTTCCAGCTTCTGAAATATGAAATGAACTGTGTTTGTATGTCATCCTAAAGTTTTGTGAAACTGTCATTGACGTTTTTACTATTTTCTGACATGTAATAGACCAAAAGATTCATTGATAAATTAAGAAAGTAGTCGTCAGGTTAATTGATAATATATGAAAATAATATATCTGTAATAAAATAAAATCACTTGATAATGCTGGTGTGTCAGTCAGGGTCTGCCCCCCTTCATAATTTTTATACATACTATTTGGTCTTGCAACAGAAACTGGTTTCTCTTTAGGGATGCAACCAACAGTTATTTTAATTATTGTTTAATCTGTGTTTTTATTTTTTTGTCTAAGAAATGTTAAACGATATATATTGAGAAATGCCCGTAACATGCCAATCAGGACCAAAGTGAATCTTGTTTTGTCAGGGCAACAGCTCAAAACCCAAAGATATTATTTTTACTCGTGTTTGACAACGATCAATCTTCACATTTGAGAAGCTGGAACGCTCAAATATTTAATATTTTTGTTTGAAATATGATAGAAGTGATGAATTGTTAGAAAATTAAAAAGCATTTTATATTTTAATATCAGCTGATTAATTGTTGCAGCTCTATTTCTCATCTCATACCCCAGTGACGGCACTGGAATTCACTACTACTCTACTGTAGAAAACAGTCACCTGAAGTGCAATTAAAAGGCTGCAGGAAAAAAAAAACAGGTTTTAAACTTCAGTTGACTGTGACATTCAACACTTCCCACTGCAATAAAAGAACATGAAATATTGTGATTTGTTTACTTTTGACAGGTGCATGAAAATTGAAATAGTACCAGTGTACACAGAAGGTACAGTACATGTTCAAACGTCCGCCCTACTTGCTGTTTAGCCTTCTCTTTGCTGTCATGTCACGTTCACCTGCTGGTGGCGGTGCTGGATTCCCTCACCAGACTCCCTTTGAAAGTGTTCACTTTTTGGCGCAGACTGTGGAGGTCTCACTTTCTCTCTTCTGTTCATCTGAATCTCTCTCTGACTCTTACTGTTTGTTCTCTCTGTTTCTCTGTTCAGGGGGTGAAACTGTCAGCTCTTCAGCCCATCTGACGAAGATGAGTGTTTTGGTGATTCAGCGCAAGCGTGTGTGTGTTTTTGTTTTCTGTGATGGCGGACTACAGTGGAGTTTTATGTGCCTTATTACAACAGATCAACAGAGACCTCAGTGCAGCGGAAAAGAACAAGGAGCGCCAGCCTCCTTGATGTTCTCAGTTTCTACAACAACAAAAAACTCATATTTCATATTTCCATCATATTCTTTTATTTAAAAGAATCAAAAGTACAATTTTTATTTTTATATGAAATACCTGAAATTTCCTGCAGAAAGAGGACAGCTGTTAGGGGTGTTTTGGTTTGGAAAACAGCACCTTCCAGCAGGAACAAGAAGGGTGGAGTTACTGGGACCATTCTTTTTTATTGTTCTTGGTATTTTCTACTTTTTTGTACTCTTGCTGTCACTGCCAGAAAATGTAGACATTTATGTTCTTGATAGAAACAAACTAATGCTGGACGCAGTCATGACAGCTGATTTTTTCCTTTTGAGGATATGGTGTTGTGTTAACCAATGAACTATCCAAATGATGAAGGTATGACATGAACATTGAAGTAGGGAGTCTAATTTAACAAAATATCATTATCTTTCCTGGTTTCTTGCAGATAGTTTACGTGTCTTTAATTGCATTATTCACACATTTACTCACTCTGTTTTTATGTTTTAGTCTTGATCAGTTTCCTGTCCACACGTTTGCCCCACACGTACTGGTTCTGACATTCTGACAAGGACAATTTTAACTTGGACCAATAAGCAGGCAGGATTATAATCTGGGTTCCTATCAAGCAGATGTTATCCAGCAGAAAAAAGGATTCCAATGCAAATATTATTTTGAAAGATTATGTCCTACAAATATTGTATGTAAATAATATCCTATTCTAAATCTATCTGAGTGATGAGGTGATGTTGACGGACATATTATTTTGCTGCTGAAATCTCACAATGACAATGCTAACATGCTGATGTTTAGCAGCTACCATCTTTGTGTTAGCATGCTAACATTTGCTAATTAGCACTAAACACAAAGTACAGCTAAGTCAGTGTCATTAGTTTTGAAGGTATTTGGTCAAAAAACAAAGTATCGGACATTTTGACCTTCGGAAAATTTTGACCAGATGACGGCACTAGATGAAAAGTCAGGGGATTACCAAAGTCTGTAGGATCCATCCTCTGGGACCCGTGAATGTCATTACAAAATGCCACCTTTAACAATCCATGTTGTAGAAGTTGAGATATTTCACAGCATCAAGTGAAACTATTTGGCCCTCAGGTGGCGGTAGAGAATAACCAAAGTAATTCACACCTGCTATCTCAAATTAAGTATTGGATAGTGGAGTTTTATATTATAATGTGCTATTTATGTGTTGTTAAATGGACCCTGTATTTGTTGGCTTTATCATTATACACTTGTGCACGGTTTGCACACTGGAAAAGTGCCTGGAATTTGTTGTTCTTATGTTCTCTTGAATTTTAACACCCCTGAATGTAACGAGGGCTCCTCTATATCACATTAAGGCAGTGGTTCCTCCTCCAGTTTGGAATAGATTGATGTATTTGTCTGACCAAATGGGGAAAAACACTCAGGGAATTACTCAGGCAGCTTATTAATTTCATCTACACAACTTTTCTGGACAGATGGCACTTTTTTCACATCATTTGAATGAAGAAATAATAGAATGAGACAGGGAAAGCCCTGCCAACAGACCCTGGAGGCCTTGTGCCACTTCTAACACGCAACCAGACCCAAGTGATTTGAAATGACTAAGCAACTAGCACTGCCATCCATAAAAGCTCACACAACAAAAGCTAAAACAAAGAAACATACAATGGATAATACTGAAAATATACTTTATTATTCAGTGCATCCAAATGATTTATGACAATTTACAAATAAATGTTTAATATTAGTGATGTTTCAGATTTACTTCTTTGGTTATACAACATGTACATGAATATCAATGGGACAAAATCCCAATTACAATGTAGGTATTTGTTGGTTATAACTGTCAGCATGCAAATCCTACATTTATACTAATATGTTATCTAATTATACAGTCAAACAGCTAGACAGCCCTTGTGTCCCTGTCCTCATAATTGTGTGTATGTTTATGCAGTTTCTACCTATATTTCTAATGCATACTCAAAAACAAACAAAAAAGCATCCACCAAATGGTGTGTGTCATCGAAGCCCTGTCTGTAGTGTTAAGTGTCCTGCTATTTTTCAGTAAGCAGATTGTGGTTTTAGTTCTCTAAACATGTGGATGCAGAAATCTCTAGAGTGAAATAGACTTAGCCAAGAACATTTACTTAAGCACAAGCTATTTAGAAAACTCCAAAAGGAAACTGAAAACAAGAATAAAACTCCTGATAATGGCCTCTAGCTGCAAAGACTCACAGTACAAATGTGGTAGGAACAAACCACATGCTAAAATTGCTGATATAGACTGATATAGGCTGTGTAGCTACAAGTGTCAGTCCCAAAGTTGATATTTTCGGGTTCATCTCCCGGAGAGCTTGAAGGTGCTCAGTAGATTTCACTGCAGTCATTACATTTTTGTGTGGGAGTCTGGCTGGTGGTGCTTGACGAAAGGTTAGACTAAATAGTAACCCAAGATGATTCATCCTCTGAGGATCATGAAAATCCACAGCTAATTTCGTGACAATCTGCCACAATACTTAATAAAATACTTTGTCAAGCATCAAAGATTTGTTGAAGGAAACATTTTAAACTGAATGTGGTGCAAAACAAAAGGTGAGGGTCTGGGGATTGATTAAAACAAATTACAAAGCAATCTGGCCTGAAGCTGTCAAGGTACTGTGCTCTGGACCATGATGCAAACATTGACATCAATAATTACAACGCTACTGTGGCAAAAATATACAGGGATGTGATTTATCCGGAATTCCGGATTTTCCGACCTGAAAATGTGATGCCCAGTAAAGAGTAATGTAACGGATTACTATTTCCAAAACAGTTACATTATTACAGTTACTAATCCAAGTAACGCTGCGCTACTGAACGCACCATCCCTGACGTGCATGCGCGACCGCGCTGCAGCTCAGCGGCACTGGACCTTAGTCAGCTGTTAGCCAAGAAGCTAAAGGACAACTGGAGAACAGGGACAGAGAGGTATTTTCGACAGCTGTAAGTAATGTTGTCGCCATTACTGTGTCACAGTCTAAGATGCAAAGAACATTGTCGTCCGTTGTAACCTTTGTGCGACCAGCAAAAAGTTTTCAACCGCGAACAGTTCTAATGTTACATTTATACTAAGGCTAATTGAAGCATCAGCTAAAGGAGAGAAACTCCGGCCGCTGCTGCCAGTGATGCCTGCACTCGTCGGGAGAGAGTGGCGTTATGATAGGCTATCACCCAGCAGTGGGCCTAAGTAGAGTAGCTAATATTACTTTTTTAAGGAGTAGGTCTATAGCCTATGGTAAGTAACTAGTAGGTAATATTATTTCTGAGTAACTTGCCCAACACTGAGTTGACAATAAGGAACAGATAAATTGGGAATGTTTTGATTATTGCTTGTTAGAGGCTGTGTCTAATGTTTACTTTGACATTGTTGTCTATTGATCACTCATGTAGCCTATACACTTTGCTGTGTGAATGGTTGCTTTTTAAGTCGTCCTTATTAAAGGTTTTGGCACGTTATTAATTAATCTCTTGTGAACGGTTGTGACAGGGTTTAGGCTATATAAGGCCTTTTCACACGGGTCGCTCTGCGCTCCTCATCAACAGACAGGCAAACAAGCGCTCCGCCAGGTAACCATGGCAACGGCTACCGTGTAACTGGCGCGTTAAACTGTCGCGGTCGTTCTCGTCTCACGCACACGCCCGCCCGCTGGCAGAGTTTAAATGTCAAACTTTTTTCTACAGTTTCCAACAGATAGAGACTGATCAGCTGTTTGAGTTTCCTGAAGAATATAAGTATTTCTTTAACAGTCAGGCCACCAGGTCTTAAACAGGCAACAACCTTTGCTGCTGTCTCTTATTCATTAAAAATCATCTATTAAGTTCAACTGAACTAATTTGAAAGTTAGTAGTTACATCATTTAGTTATAGACTCAATTATTTCATGTTTCATGTTTCACATTTAGCTGTTGAAGTTTGGTAAAAATGAATACAAAATAATAATTATTATAGAGAGGTTGCGATGACGCAGTGGATTAGACCCTTGTCTTTGATTCCCACTGCAACACATCCATTAAATAACTTATTGTCATGGGTTCTGCTTTACCTTCCATATTAGAGCCGCCACCAGTTTAATCGTCGGGTGGTTTCAGTATATTTTCCTGCATTTTTTGCCCTATGCCAATCACATGCCTGAATATATAAAATCAGTCTTGTTTTATTTATTTAGAACCTTTATGTTTAGACTGCTCTAAGCTAGCTTGACTTGAAAAAGCTACTGGAAAAAGGAAAGCTAGGCTAACTAGCTTCCAATAATTAAGGTCACTGTCAAGAAACATTTTGGTACCTAAAACTTATCCATGTATGTGGCCTGTATTTCAGTCACCAGGCGGTGCCAGTATGTCATACTCTGCAAGGAGCACAAAACTGTTCTCTCTGATTTTCCGGACTCTGACCAAATCTCCACACTCCTGGACATGGATCAGCCCTCGCTCTCCCCTCCCATACTCTCTCTCCCTGTCGTTCAGTGTCACCTCTGTCCGTTTGGCACAGGCCTGACGGTACATGTACCTTATGCCGATCACCAGCACCATGCCCAAGGTAGCTGAACAGCCCAGGAGCATGCCCAGCTCCCAGGCACTGTGTCTGGGAGTTATGTCTGGATACTTCCCTTCCCTGTCTGGCTTTCCAGAGGGATGTTTGGTTTTGGGTTTAGTATCCGTGTTGGGAGGGTGTGGTTTCAACTCATGGCCTGTATTTAGTTTGAGGGTCTGGGTCATGGTTTGGATTGGGTTTGGGGTTTGGGTGAACCATTGATCTTGGTGTTGGTGGGTTGAGGTTGGGCTCAGGATCATATGATGCAATGTGGCTCTGGATTTGCAACCTCTGACCTAGGGTGAGTTGTTGGGAAGGCACAGGTGAGGCGGTGGATGTGAGCGGGTTGAAGAGAGAGCGACGGGGAGCTGGAGAGGGTTCTGGGTGAGGGGTGGTAGACTGGGAGGACACCAAAGAAGAAATAGCAGACGAGTTGGAGAAAGATGAGGAACCCAGTGAAGATGCTGAGGTAGAAGTAGGGACTGGTGATAAAAAATGAGATGACGAATGGAAAGAAGGAGCAGAAGAAATGGAATAAGCTGATGAGGCAATGGTGGAGGAGGCGAGGGCTGGGGAGATGGTGGAAGAAGAAGGTGAGGAAAAGGTTGAACTTGTGATAGATTGGGGGGAGATAAAGAAGAGATGAGGAAGAAGTAGATAATGGGACTGAGGAAGGATTGTGGGAAGAGTTTAAGGAGGGTTTGGTAGAAGAAGTTACATACGAGGGCATAGGGTAAAATGTGGAGGGTTGGACAGAGGGAAAATAAGGAGGAATGGAGATCGGGGAAGGAGAGGGGAGGGCAGAAAGGGCTGGAGCTGTTGTGGATTGGTTCTTCAAGGAAGAGGGAGAAGATGAGATAGACGCATGGGTTGAAGCAGTTTGTATGGATACCAGCGTTGAACTTTCGGTGCGATGAGTGGTAGAACTAGAGTGTACAGGGGAAGAGGCAGGCAACGTATGGGTGGAAGAAAAGGATGAAGAATGAGGTGTGGAAAAAGATGGAGGAATGGCAACAAAGATGGGGCTCATGGTTTTGATCTTTGCTTGGGACTGAAGGTGGGCCTGAGTGTGGGATGAAGTTGTGTGGGACTCGGGAAAGGACTGACTTGTACCAGTTTGGGAGTGGACTAATGCCTTGAGATGAGGATTCTGAGGCTGGATCAGGGTCTGGCTATCCATTTCATCCTTGATTAGACTAATTTTAGACGTGGTTAGGCTATTCCTCCAGGGATGTGATGGACTGCTCTGGGTCTTAAACTTTACTGGACTAGTTTGGTCCTGGATTGGTCCTTTTGGATTCTGGGATATCGGCCTTGGGAAATTTAAATTGTGGAAGCTATGACTTGTTAAAGGTATAACCATGGTGGAGGTTTGGGGATTTAATGCTGTGTCTTTTGTTTCGGGAATAGTGGGCAGCTTTGGATCATGGAAGTTTCTCTTTGCATCTTTTCTTTCCATCCCAACATCCTTCAGAGGGGGTAGGGAAGCAAGGGAGTGTAGCAGAGAAAGAATACTGGTTGTGTTTTGCACTGTGATGTTGGGCAGAAGACTGGTAGTAGAGTCCATCCCTTTAGCCTCGGCTGAGGAGAAAGAGTCTGTGAAACGAAGGTGGCTGGAAGAGAAAAGAGAGCTCTTCGGGTCCTCGGTATGAACAGCACCTGCCTCTTCAGTCACACTTGAGAGGAATCCAGTCACACTTGAGAGGAATCCTGAAGTCGCATAGGTGTCATTCTCACCACCTTTAGTAGCATTTCGAAGAGATCCTAAAGTCACTGAGCTGTTGCTTTCAATCCAAGAGAGTCCAAGAGTTGCCAAAGTCACAGAGCTATTAATCTCCATGGCTGGACGAGTGACTTCTGTTAATGGTGACTTGGTGTATCTGTCGGTTCCATTGATTGTTGGTGCAGGTGGTCTGAGGGTTGTCGCAGGGCTGGCTGTCTTGTTTGTTTGTTTGTTTGATGATGTAACGGTTCTGAGAGCTGTGAGCCAACAAGGTAAGAAGAGCAAGGTATTATTTAGGATGAGGTGTGGATAGAGAAACAGAAAGATAGTCATTGCACAATGCCTAGTTTGTGTTTTGCCCTGGCCTGGAGTTGCATCAGATGACTTATATATCATTCTCTGAAATTCGCACTACAAACAACTTCTTCCTGAAACTGGAGGTAAATACACGTGTACAAACCTGTCTTTTTATTGGATATACTGTATGTTCATTCAGCATTACACAAGTTGCATACCTTGCAGAGCAGCAACTTCATCTTCCTGTGGTGCAGAAATTGAATTTCTCTCATCCACCCCTGTGATGTTACTCCCACTCCAATGACTATGACTCCCATCACGCACCACTGCGGACGAAATACCTGCCCAGTACACAAAGTAAGACTGCACCACTGTGATGCTGGAATGACAGACAAAGAGGTTTCTTCATTGCTGAATAATGGGTATGCAATTGATCAAAAATTCCCAAAAATGTTTGGCAACAAATGAATTCACCAGTATTTGTCTTTAGTAAATATTCGACTGCTAGTTATGATAGTGATCATTTACAACCTTGAACTTGTACAGATGGTAGGCTCATACTCACTAGAACCTGATGTCTCCCATGGGTACATCAGGAGCCCTCCACACAAACGAGAGGTTTCTCTTCGGCTGTTTGTCAGTGTGTGTGAGGGTGTCGCCCTCCGAGAGGCAGCGCAGAGTGTGTGTGCCAGGGGGAGTTACGGTCCAGGAGCCACCCACCAGCACCGGGCCCACTCTCGTAGACCTGACCCCAGCTCCAACTCCCTTTCTGGCCTTGAACCCAACCCCAGCCCTGCCCCCAGCACCCTCCACACTGCGAGCCTGGAGCAGGAAACCCATGAAGTCCCGAGAGCTTCGAACAGTTACTGAGAACACAAGCACATAAACAAAGAAACAGACATTAAACTAGTTGTTCTTGTACCACTAAATATCTGTCCAGGCAGGTTATTTTATTTTATAAAAAGTACCTCAGTAACATATAGTGAGTTAATGAACAGTCAACAGTTATAAATAGTCCCTGGAGGTGAAAATCAATCAGTTAGTTGCTATTTATATATATATTGGTGAGTTCATTGACAGATATTTAAGTACATGTGACTTACTATCCCAGTAGGTAGAGGAAGGTTAAGTTCTAAGTTATTTGTAGATTAATTGTTAAGTTGAAGTTGAAGTAAGTGGTAGAAGTAAGTTGTTAGTCCTTCGTTGATTGATTGATTGAGCTTCTTTATTGATTGTAAATATAAAAAGTGCCTCCAACATGACATGCCCCAGCTACAGATACCATCAAAAGGATAAAAACACAAGAAAGCCAGATGGCTTATTTCCATTGTGGTCCTATTTTTTCTTCTTCTTCTACTTCTTTAAACAATTAATCAGAGGTGGAAAGAGTAGAACAATATTGTACTTAAGTAACAGTATTATTATTTTAAAGACCTTTTACTTAAGTACAAGTACAATTAATGGTATAAAAAGTAAAAGTAGCTCATTTAAAATAACCTATTTATACCTGTTATACTTATTTAATTAAATTGCAGTCTTTTGTGATTTGATAAGGGTACAAAGCCATATTGGGCTTTCAATTTAGTTTGTTTGACAGAAACTTTAACAAAACAATGGCAAAAAACAACATTAGAGACAGTTTTTGTTATAATGAGAAGTTTGAGAATGTTTTCGCTTCATTAAGAAACTTTGGCAGAACTGAAAACACTGGACTGTATATGAAGTCATATCCCTATTTACATTCAAACAGGAGGTAATTTTAATGGGACATCAAAAGTGTTAGTATAATAATTAACTAGTTACCAGCAATTTGCTAATGCCAACCAACATTGTCATGCACTGATGTCTTTTAGGCTATTTAGAGCAAACATCTTACCAAACTATGGAAGTAGGCTACTACTGACCTCTAGGCCTACATCAGGTGTCCTCAACTACATTTTGTTCAAGGGCATGAATTTTTCTAAGAAGACACTGTGGGGGCCAGACTTTCAAAAATAATTGCCATATGTTTAACTTTTGCAAGATGAACATGTAATAGGTTTGCATAGGTTTGAAGTCCAGCCCAAAGGGAGTTCCCATCTCCCACAGAAAACACTGCTCTAAACATCTGTAGTCCTGTGACATCACAGGGATGAAAGGGATGTAGAGACAGAGCTCAGTTGAAACTTTATGGATGAAAGATACATTTTTTACAGATAAATAATTCACCCCTCTGAAACTCTTGCTCCAGTCCATGTTGCTAAGCAGGTAATGGGAACATGTACAGCTGAACCGAAGCCGTGTTTACCGGCTTCTCACTGACCCGCCCTATTCTGCTTCTGCTAGTCATCCTTAACTAGGAACTGCGCATGTGCAACTCCCAACAAAGATCATTTAGAGACAAGATGCATCACTCCATAGCTAAAACGAAGCGTTTAACACAGGGTGAAAAGAGGAGCTGCAGCAATGTGCAGTATGACAAAAGTATGGTGTTTTTTGAAAATGAAACCAAGTAAACCTGATCTGGTACATCCCCTAAATAAGATTTTGAACCTGAAAATGAGGCTAATACCACCTCTTTAATAAACCAGTTTTGACACTATTGTAAGATGAGATTTATTTTTGTTAAGATTTATTTTATAGATTACTCCATTTACTGAAATACGTTGCATGATTTAAGTAATGTTAACTATATCTGTATGTTGTAATCAGTTTCTAAGCTTTAATAGGAACTACATTACATGGTCCACCTTGCCTGTTAATTAAAGTTAGTACCAGTCAAGGCTGGCAGAGTGATATGAGGAGGAAGCGATCTTTGAGGGTTGTTGTTTTGTTTTTTCCACGGTCGCGGGTTGAAGCCAATAACTTTTTTCACAGCTTACAGTGCATGAAAAAGCTGTTGTTCTCTTGCACTTGAAAGCAAAGTGGTTGCGAGGTCAGTGACAGATGTGATTGAAAATCTAGCGAACAGTGAAGTATAATACTTTAAACACATCATACTTAAGTAAACGTAAAATTACAGATTTAAAAAAACTACTTTAAAAAGTACAAGTACACAAAATAGCTACTCAATTACAGTAACATGAGTAATTGTAATTCGTTACTTTCCACCTTTGCAATTAATTAACAGTTAAAATTACTGTAGTAGTTTTAAGATCAAGTTGGTGGAACAATTTTGCAAAGCAGTGTGTAAAAAGGTGAATTTGGATTTAGAGATGTACATTATATTAAGGAAATTATAACTATAAGGGCCAGTATTTGCTCAGGAGGACAATTATGACTTATGAACCTTTTTGAACAAACGACATGCAGGAATGTTTTGCCATCAGACTAAAAGTTGTGTCTTAGCATGACGCCAAGAAAAAGAAAACTTCTTTGAAGAATTGTTGACGTTTGCAGATGTCGTGCTTGAGAGACTGACAGATAGGTACAAACATTTCCCCACTGTCCTGGCTTTTGATGTTTAAAAAACAAAAATCACTATGCACTGCAAAAATAAATGTGCCATTTTTATGAAGAACATACACAAAAGTAGGTGGACACCTACACATACTTTTATGACATCCTGTTCTAAATCCATAGGCATCATTATTCAGTTGGTCCCCCCTTTGCAGCTATAACAGCTTCCGCTCTTCTGAGAAGGCTTTCTACAAGATTTTGGAGTTTGTCTGTGGGAATTTTTGCCCGTTTATTAAGAAGAGCATTTATGAGGTCAGACACTGATGTTGGATGAGAAGGCCTGACTTGCACTCTCCTTTCTAGTTCATCCCAAAGATGTTGGATGGGATTGAGGTCAGGATGGGTCCATCAAAGACCAGACCATCAAAAGAGAGCACCTCCCAAAAGTATTGGGAAAGAGGTGTCCCAGAACTTTTGTCCATATAGTGCTTCTGTGTTTCTGTGTTTGAATAATCTATTTGAGTATGATATAGAAAATGTTTGGCATAGACTTGAGAGGAATGACTAAAGTGTTTTGATCTATAAAAGCTCAGATGGAGATGAAGGGTGTGTATCCAGGAATCACAGCTATATTGTTTGTGTGTTATATTGTATGTTTAATGTGGAAGCTGTCATTTGTGTGTTCACATAGTTTGAGAACAGCTGAACAGGAGATATGTATCAGCTTGTCTGCCCATGGCTCAGCCAGATAGCTTAGATGTTATAGCTTTGAGACCAAGATAATTATATAAATTACTATGCTTTGACAAACCTGGAAAACCACAGAGGCAGCCAGGAAGAATGACAAAGGGAAAAAACTTGTCTGTGCGTGTGTGTATATGCAAATTTGGGGTTTCAGCTGAATATAACAACGTTTGTGTTGTGACAAGCTGGAGCCTTTTCCTTTGCCTGAAGATGGACTCTTCGTCGACTTTGGTCAGTTTTCTCCTATTTTACATTTCATACGCTCATTCTCATGATCTTATTTTAACCATTTTTGCATCTCATTCAAAGGAGACCAGAATTATGCATCTAGGCCAAATGGTTGAGGAGTTATTCCTGATTCATTTTGGGTATGCTATTTTAGGCGTTTTTTCTGGAAAAGGGTGTCCGTACTACCTGATACTAACTGTCCAGGCAGGTAAGAAGATGCGGATGCGCGCAGGGTGACGTGGTTGTGCTGCAGGTTCTGGGGTTGAGCACGGATGTGGCCGGGAATCATCTCCTGACAGGAGGCGTGGCTGGCACCGCGGGAGAACGTCATCGTGGACGGAGCCAATGAGAATAAGACCAAGCCCACCCCGAAGCAGTTGAGGGTAGGCTGCATCTCTACACGCACAAGCAAAGACAGACAGTGGAGACAATTCCCCAAACTTTCTATTAGTAGGAGAAATTAGTCTAAATACATAATGGATGGCTTTAAGATATATTAGGCTTTGAACACAGACAGAATACCTGTTAGCAGATGAAGTCATTGTTGTCATTTTTTCAATTTGTTAACAATTAGAAAAATATAGGACATCATCAGACGTCCTTTAATTCTGGCCATCAATGCAAATTTCAGCCCACCTGTGCACATTTTTAGTGCATCATGAAAATATGAACATAGTAATAATAATAATAATAATAATATTTACTCATAATTTTGTAAATTTGTTTAAATCAAATACAAATTTAAGACAAAAGTAAATAGCAATAAGAAGACAAGATTGAATACTGGTTTAACACCCAATTTAACCAGTAGCTAACTGTCCCCAAAAATACTGATAAATACTCAGTAAAAGAGGCAACCCTAACTGAAAGATCCAGATAAAATAATCAGAATAATCTTTGATCTTTTATTCGCCGTTAGTAGATAAAGACAATAGCTGATGTTAAATGCAGTTTTATGCATGACATTTTTGTTAAAAAGATACAACACATTTAGTGAATATTATTCATTCAAATGAATGAATGAATGAATGAGAGTCAAAGGACTGGATGAATTTTATCCATGAGCATCCCTACCTTGTGGAGCAGTGACCTTCAGGAACTCAACAACCTAATGTTCTTCCCCTTCTTCAGTTTGTAAAGAAACTCTTCCAGTTTAGTTGTTGTGTCGTTCAACAGAGAGCAGTGAGAGTGAGTTTAAAGTTTGTGAGGATGAGCATGAGGTTTAGAGGAATCTCAGGGTCCAGGATATGGAGGGAGGGGGAAAGATGTAGAACTAGAATATGTAGAGCGGCAGGTCGGATACCTACAAACATTTTTTATATATTTAAGGGGAAATATATATATAATAATATGCTATTATGTGTTTCTGTGTATATGGAAGTCAAAATATGCCATGATTAATTAATTATTTTCAGACAGTTTTTCACACAGTAACATTTTGCATCTCTATCTCAGTGGACTTTTTGTGGACAGAGCAGAACTGATTGTTAGATTAATCAATTAACCGATTGATCCAATTTCTCACTTGTAAGGATGGGCCGCTTTTCTTTGTTCTGTGTGATTGTGAATGTTTTGGACTATAGACAAAACAAGCAATTTAACTTGAGATTTTGGGCATTTTCACTATTACTAAACGCTAAATCGATTGATCAAGAAAATAATCCACACTTTAATCGAATCTCGTTATCTCAATGTAATGAAAAATTTAAGTCGCTTTCATTGGAACAAAATATTGGATATGTCAAGATAATATAATTATCCCATTTTTTCCTTTCCTTAACAGGTTTAACAAACTATTTAAGCAGTATGGTAAATCACAGTGATGTCGGTCCAGACTAAAATATCTCTACCTTTGGATGCATTACCATGAAATGTGGTTCATGTTCCCCTCAGGAGGATCCTCTGCTTTTTCATCTAGCGCCATCATCTGGTGAAAATGCTAGCATGTCTGTAGTCTCTTTAGTCATGTTTTTATTTAATGTCTTCTTCTTTGCTTGTATATTTAAATGGTCACAAACAAAACCCAACATATGTACATCACTTCTGAACCACTACATGGACAAAAATCACTAAAAGTCACTAAAAGGAATTAATGCTGAATTTTTGTTTCACACGGGAAACAAACACTGGTCTCCTAGTCCAGTTTCTAACCCACCAATCCACCCATCTAAACCACCTACTTACTTGGACTTTTCTGGTTATATATAGTTTTTTAGCGTTGAACAATGATGCTAAAGGGCTTCCCCCAGTGTGCTAAAGTATGACGCGAAAGGGTGCCGTGTGCATTGGTACCAGACATCGAAGGACGTGACAAGCGTAGCTATTTGATAGGGATTGGGAATGGGAACGGGCTGGCATTTCAGCCTCAGGGGATGCATACTAATCTGTTATAGTCTATCATTCTCATTCTCCTGCTTGTGACACCAGTTTTACATGTTACACTGCAGACAGAGAGGCGACAATCTTTTCTAGTGGATGTATTTCTATGGGATTAGGACCCCCCGCTGCACACACACACACACACTAACAGGATGTACACCAGCTGTAGCCGCCTCCTTCCAGGATCTCCCAAACATTGATCTGTTATTTCTTGGTGCTCATGGTGGGAAATGTTGGGTCTAGACCTGCTCTCTCTAAAGAGGACAATGAGATAACTTCTCTTATAAATTGGAGCTTCATATCTAAATTTGAATTGAATTAAAAATAACAACAATCAAAGCTGGCTCATCTTGGTTCGTTTGTAAAAAAGACAGTATGAACCATGTAGGCTACTGTTTTCCTCTTGGTCCAGACTGGAGGAACCGAACAACAAGCGTTAAAGCAGCTCGCAGCCTGTCTGCTGTATTTCGGTTTCCCTCACTGCTCGTAACAGTTAAAGTGTGGGGGGAAAGCATAGATGTAATTTACAGTGGGGATGCTGGGGACATGTCCCCACCACTTTTTGAAAAGGCTGATTTCGTCCCCGACACTTTTTGAAAGCATTTGTTAAAAATATTCTGAAAAATAGCTTGCACTAAGAAAAGTTAACAAATAAAAATGTTTTTGAGAAAGGTTTATTTGCCCAATATAAAAACATGCAAAGCAGTTAAAATATGAAAGAAGTACATGTGAACTGCCCCAAAATAGTAAGCTAAACAAAAAAACAAGCTGCTTATTAGTGCTTTGTATTGCATATTTTCTGGAATTGTCACCTGCTAGCTGAAGTTTCTGTTTCCCTTTATATAAATAAAAACTTTTCCACTGTAAATTGGAGCAGAAAATGTCTCTAGAATGCAGGAAATTAAGTGTTAATGCTCCAATTTTCCCAGACCCCTCCCTCCACTTATATATTTTAGAATTTCATATTTCTTCAAGGTAGTGTTAAAGATCTTCTCGCCTTGTTCTCGTGTGTCATCACGCCTCTAATCTGAGCCCTTATGTCCTCACCACTTTTCAATACAAAGTGACTTCCTTGGGGGGAAAGTGACCACAAGTGCTCGCGTCCTGTAAATGAGCCATCAGCTCCGTACTTGAATTTTGTGGATACTTCCGCAGTACAAAGTTACATTAAGCTTACTTAAAGAGTAACGTAAAATCACTTTGGAAACAGTGTTTTAAATGTTCGTTGTACAATAAAGGGCTTCTCTGATGTTGCTTTGGGAGACGATTTAATTACAACCGGAACATATTAATCATTGTTATTGTCTGTTGAATAAAGCTGATGATACACGGGGGCAACTTTTTGCTGGGCAGTCTTGCTACTGGCAAGTCCAACGATGTTTTGAACGGATAGCGGTGGGGCAGGGCGGGTGGCAGGAAGGAGATTACGGTAGTAGTCTTTACTCATTACCATTGGCAGCAATGTTGCTCTAAAAGTTGCTCTGTGTATCATCAGCTTAAGGATACAAAAAGAGTGTATGTGAATATTAAGTGCAGTTTTTATGTCTTTTTAAATCAGAATTAATTAAGTTCAGTTCAAGCATATATAGTAGAGAATAGGCTATATGCAATATTAACTATTTACATGTGAATAAAAAATACAGTACATAGAAACCGGGGATGGTTGTAACATTTATGTATCTCTGCTCTTTTAAGCCAGTGTGTTCAACATGTGAAACAAACTAGTTACATGTGTCTGCTATTAAATGGTGTAACTATTGCAGTATCTTAGTTTCTGCCAGTCGTAGTAGTGAACATAATAATAAAATTTAACAAAAATGTACACATGTGTACCAACTGAGTATTAGTGTGTGTTTGTGCTTGTTTGTCTTCTTCACAGTGGTGACTGACATATGGCTATGATTAAACTAACATTTGAACATAGTAATAAAACAGTACAATTCTACTACAGGGCTACTTCCTTTTGGCACCAGCGTCTACTGCGCATGATCGCGCAGCATAACTGTAGTTTAATGACGTAAAGCACTGGCAGAAAAACGTAATTTTTAGATTCACTGAGAGTTTATGATCTAAACAATACACTTACATCTCGCATGTGCGACAGGATGTCACAGGGTTTTGACAGCAATAAGGGGCTACATGGAACCGTCCATGCAGGCTTTGGTCAGCTTCACTATTCCAACTGTGGCTTACCCCCTTGGTCATGACAAGCCCTCTGAGTTGAGTTATGTGTCTTGTCTTGTCTTGTGTCTTGTTTCAGGTCTTCGTCTGCCTTCCCTCCATGTGTGATTACCTGTCCCCGGCCTAATGTGCTGCACCTGAGTCTCACTGTCTCCCCTCCCCTAGCATATATAAACCCACTCTCCCCTGAGGTCTTTGCCAGATCTTCTTGTTCCCTGTGACAGCGTTCCAGCCTTTATTCTGTGTTATTCCCTAGTGAGCCAGTGAGTTGTGACCTTGTTTACGACCCTCATTCTTGCCTTGTATTTTTGGTACCTTCACCTGGTCCATCTGTACAAGCCTACAATAAAGCTACTGCTTTATTGTAGGCTTGCTGTTACTGCTGTTTTACCTTGGAGTCATACTCTGTGAGTCCATTCCCACTGTGAGTCTGATAAGTTTTTCCATCTGCAACATGTCTTATTAGATGTGGAAACATCACAGTCTGTCCAATAATTGAATATAAAAAGGGTAAACAGATCTGGAGCAGTGGCACCAGCTCACTCTAGATCAGCTTCCTGTGAAAGCTTCAAACTGCAAATGTATGAAAATAAAATGCAAAGTCCTGATGTGTGATAATCAACCACGTGTCTGAACCTTGAAACAGCTCATGACTCATTTTTGCCTTGCCCACCTTGAATATCTCCTCTGTTTATCTCCAGGTCCTCTTCTAAAGTCCTCCCCAACAACAGGACACCAGGTAACAGTTTACTGGTTGTTGTAGCATCCCAGTACGTATGGCAAAGAAATTACTGTTGGGCCATGTCTGACTTT